AGAATGAAGAGCTTCTGCACGCAGGTCCACGTCCATCCTGTTCACAGTCACCCTTTCTTTCCCTGTGGGAAGCAGGCCTTTGGGCTTCTGCCATCAGAGTGGACGGAGGGAGTAGGCTTTTGGCAGACAGTGCTGGGCCTCCTGCTAAACCCTGCCCAGCACTGCCCCGGGCAAGCCACCCTCGGCTCTGCCTGCCAGTCCCCGCCCTCCCACCCCCCAGGCAAGCCAGAGCTGCTCTGTCCATGGACATTCTGTAGCTGGCTGCGGCTGCAGGCTCCTCACAGGCCGCCTTGTTCTCGGGCTTCTGTGGCCAGTTGTGGAGCCGTGCTGGGATCTAGGAGCTCAGCTGGGTCAAGGGAGGCTTGGTTGAAGTAGAACCGAAGGTCCAGGGCTCAGCTGCAGGAGTGAAACCTGAAATGCGGCGCCCACTCGCCCACGCCACGGAGGTCTGAACCTGACTGGCTGTTGCAGTGGGGCGGAGGCGGTGTGCTTTAGGGAAGTCGGTGCCTGCCCTGAAGTCTGATTCCAGGCCGAGTGCCAACCCCTCTGAGCCTGCTTCTACCTAAACGTGAGAAAGCAAAACTTACCAGAGAAGATTGCTTGGAGCATGTAAGTGAGGCAGCGCTCACCAAATACCAGCTCCTGTGTGTTGTGGACCAGAGACCACAGGATGGGGGCGAGAGGGATGCAGAGGAAAGGGAGGGGTCGCAGAGGGAATGGTTATTATGGGAAGGTGAGGAGAGCTATATCTGTACAGCATGGCTAAGCTGTGACAAGAAAGCAGAGAGGTGCAACTGCCAGAGTGGGGGTGAGAAGCAGGAAGACAGGGCAGAAAGCCAGGGCCGGAAATGGAGTGTCCCCATCCCGTGTGTCACACGCTCCTGGAAGCTGAGCCCGACGCCCAGCTCCTTGGGCAAACGGCTCTCTCAGGGAAGGGGATCTGAGCTGCATACAGGCAAAAGTAGTAAGAGCGGTGCAGTTGCTGAGCCAGCCAGGAGCAGGTTCTGGCACAGCCGCCCTGTGCATCGTTCCAGGGACGGGTCCCCGTGGCTGGGCCACAGCCTCTGCATCATTCACTCTCAGTGGGTCCCCCGTGGCTGGGCCACAGCCTCTGCATCCTTCGCTCTGTGCACCGTGCCCCACAGAGTGCTTCGTCTCCCCCTCCTGGGCCTAGCACAGTGCTCAGCCAGCACTTAGCAGAAATCAGCGGCGCTCTCCTGGAGCACCACGCCTTCCCCCGCTCCTGAAGCTGTGCACTGCTGCAGTTCTTTGCCTGGCAAGGCAGGCAGCGCCTTGGAGGACCACAGGGCTGCTGGGGAGGGCAGCTCCTGGGAGGCTGCTGCTGGCTGGCACAAGATAGGTGTGCTGCCAAGTGTAGAATTATTACAAATAGGGCAGTGCAGTTATTACCAACGTCCTTTTATATGGACTTCTGATCCAGTGCTCTTTCCACTCCGACCTGCTCCGCCTCCTGCCCAACTCCACATCCCAGCACAGAACCTTGGTAAAGCACCCGGGGACACAGGTCCAGTGCCCCGAGAGGGAAGGGGTGATGGAGCTCATCTGGTGCCTGGCAATGCTAACCAGGACTGTTGAAGTGCCTGAGTCGCCCAGGCGCGGCTCTGAAAGCCGGTGGAGCGGCCACGGGGTCCCGGGGGTTCCTCTGGGCTTCCGGACCCCTGCTCTCCGAGTGCCGGGACCTCAGCGTGAGGGCGTGGGCTCCGGCAGTTCACTCTGGACCGCCGCCTGAAGGGTCCTGCGGGCGGCGGTGGCGGCGGCGGCGGCGGCGGGGCGGGCTCGGGCTCCGCGGCGCAGGCTCCGCCTCCGGAGGCGCGGGTTTAAAGCCGGGAAGGCGAGGAGCGCTGGAGCCAGCCGCCGCCGCACAGCCATGGGCCGGCGGCCTGGGGGCGCTCAGCCGCTGGGCGGCCTCCTGCTGCTCGCCCTGCTCGCTGCCGGCGTGGCCCCGCTCAGCTGGGATATCCCGGAGCCCCGCGGCAGAGCTGCCAAGATCCGAGTGCACCCGCGGGGCAACCTCTGGGCCACCGGTGAGTCTTCGGGGCAGCAGACGCCCCTCACCCTGCTCTGATCCCCCCTGCAGCCCCTCGTCCTGGGGACTGCAGGGAGCAGCTGGGCCCCTTGGGCTCCTCCCGTTCAGTAGAGGGGAACTTGACACGCACACAGGTGAGCGCGCAGGGTCAGGGCTGGCCTGGGGCCCAGATCTGCCTGCCAAGTGCTGCTCCTTCCCTCGGGCTTGGATTTGTGCATCCTCCAGGCTCTGGCGTATCTCCTTCCCTGCCCTCCCCTCCCTGTGCTCGGCCATGCAGGCGGCAGGACGGACAGTTTTCCCCAGTTGCTGGGCCCCCTTCTGCACTGGTTCTGAAAGAGCCGAGGCGCTGGGCCTTGCCACACCCAGACACCTCGGTGGGTCTTGGTGAGGAGGGGGAAGGTGGTGTCTTCCTGCTGCGAGAGCCGACTATGGGAGTGATGGGGAACTTCCTCGCTGGGGTAGAATCCTCACTCCCTGGCTTCCTTGGGCCTCGACACCTCCTTTCCAGGTCACTTCATGGGCAAGAAGAGTCTGGAGCCCCCCAGCCCATTCCCACTGGGGACCGCTCCCCCCACCGCCCTGAGGGCCCAGAGACTGCAGCTGAGTCATGATCTGCTCCGGATCCTCCTGCTAAAGAAAGCTCTGGGCCTGAGCCTCAGCGGCCCAGCAGCCCAGACCCAGGTGAGCCAGGCCCCACCCCAGCCAGGACCAGGAGAGCTCAGCCAGGGCCCGCCCCTTGGTCCAGCATGGAGGAGCTGTCATTGCCATGGGGTATCATGGCCTGGCCAGGGCGAGGTGGGTGTGGAGAGCCCGGGAAGAAGGAATGCCGGGTTCTCCCTCTATCCCAGGGCTCAAAGAGCAGGGCACTGGCCAAGGGAAGCCGACCCTCCCTGCAGACCCCATGGCACGAGTCCCCCCACTCATCACCCAGTCCAAGGTCAGACGAGGAGCAGGCAGCCACTAGCAGCAGGACCTGTCTCCCAGGCCCAGCAGCCTTGTCCCACTCCATCGGCCCCTGCTGTTTTGGCCACATCCATCCTTACTGCGCCCTGCATGTGCTGTGGCTGGAGCTGGGACCCTGAGTGCCTGCTCTGTAGCCAGCGGCAGGGCTTGGGCCGTGCACGGCAGTGTCCGTCGCTGATCACCACCCGACACATGCTAGCAGAACCCCCCACCCCAGATTGTGACAGCCGGACAGGCCCCCAGCCCGTCACCAGATGTCCTCGGGGGTAGGGGGAGGGAGGAAGGTGCCCTAATCATTCTCGGTTATAATCCACTGACCTATGCAGTTCAGTCCCAAACTAAAGTCAAGCCAGCCACAGTGTCTGGTCTGGTTGAGCAGCTTCTCTGCTCCCTGCTCCTGGTGCTGTCCCACTGTGCACTACGGTCCCCCGGGCTCGTGGCTGTGTGCAGAAGGTGGGCTCTGGCCAGGTGAGCCCTCCTGACCCAGCTACTTAGTAGCTGTGTGACCTCAGAAATCTCAGCCTCCTCCCCCTCATCCGTAAGTGGAGAGGGTAATGGGCCCATCTCTCACTGAGTGAGACCATTATGTCATGCGCCCAGCGCGATGCTAGTACATAGACAGCCCTGGGTAAGTGGGAGCTGTTAGCCGTCTGGGAGCTCCGGGCAGTGCCTGCTGCTGTCCCCTTCGCATCCTCACTGTGCCTCGCATAGGGTGTGTACATTATGGAAAGAGGGAATGGCATTCCCTGGGGAAGGTTCAGCCTCAGCCCCAGCCAACACCCCTGACTCCTGAAACACTGAAGGCCCCTGCCAGCCCTCCTCAGATGTGACGGCTAAGGGTCTGAAGGGGAACCGTGTCACCCACAGGGCTTGCAGCACGAGAATCTCAGGGGCAGCACACCTGGCCGGGAGGGGGTGGGACATCAGTGGGGCCTGGGCCGGAGCTGGGGACGGGAGGGTCAGGACACTGACACTGGGTGGTGCCAAGCACTGGGATCTGACTTCACATTCCCTTTTGAGTGTGGCGACTGTGCTGTGAGGTTGGGGCTATGACTCTCAAGACGCCACGGCCGGTGACTCCTTCCGGGCCCTTCAGGGAGAGCCGTGCTAGGGGTCCTGCCCTGCCCACCTCTGCAGGTGCCTGGCACTTAGGAGTGGCTGGAGGCGCCATTCGTGGGCGGCGCCGCGCCCCCACCCCGCCTTGCCAGATCAACTCTTCTGTGTTTTCATTCAGTACAGGAGGCTTCCGGCGCAAATACTGCAGAAGTGATGCCAGCAGCAGCTCACCTTAGACTGTGCCGGCCCGGGGGAGGTGGCAGTGCCGCCTGGATGTAAATGCTGGGCGCCAGTCCGTCACTGCACGGCTGGGATTCCTGACGGGGTCGCCAGAGCTGGCGGGACGCACACGAGGTTATATCCCTGCTGTATCGGTTGCTCCCCTGTTGAAGCTGTGAATAAAAACCCTGCTCTTCACACAGAATGCGTGGTCCTCTCCTTCCAGCTAGGTTTGAGGGAGGGCGGGAGAGGGGCCGGGAGACAGACGGGGCTGGAGCACTTGGCGCCATGGCCCAGCCTGGCACTGACTCCTGCTCAATCAAGCTACGCCTGCGGTACGCCTGGCTCCCGTGTCCCTGCCTGCGCGGCACTGCCGGGCTTGCCCCTCTCATTTCTTCCCCACGCCAGGCTTTGAGGGGGCGGGCGCCCCCCTACCCTCCTCGCTGGCATTCAGCAGGGAGGCTGCAGAATCCCAGTTCAGACGGGCGCTCCGGTGTTAGTACAGGGGGCTGGGCTGCCACACACGGCCGGCGAGTATTTGGGCCCTCAGGCATCGGGGAATCCCCGATTTTACGTCACTTTCCCCGGGGCTGCCGCCCGGAGAACCCCGGACACTCCCAGTCCCAAAAGCGACGCCTGGGGATCCGCGGTCCGATCCCTTCGGCCCCGCCCCCGGGCGGGAGGCCACGCCCAGGTCTCGCGAGAGCGCGGCGGCTGTCCTTCCGCTCGGCCCCGGAAGTGGGGCGTCGGGAGCGGCCGTTGCCATGGAGTCCGCGGAGGACTGGCTGGTGGAGTCCTTGCGTTTGTGAGTCGCGCGGGGCTGTGGGTCGGGCTCTGGGCCTGGGGCTGGCGGGATGGGCGGATGGGTGCGGGTGGAGGAGCGCAGCGAAGGCTGGGGCGATGCGGAGGACTCCGCCCGGCCGCGACGCCTGCACAGGGCCCCTCCGCGCGCCTGTGGCTTGTGTGAGGTGCTCGTGGGAGCGGCGCGTGTGGCCGGCGCGTTCGCTCGGCCTCGGAGGTTAGCCCTGGACCCAGATGTCTCATTGATGCCCCACATCAGCCTGGGGAATCTGGCTGGCCTGGGAGTTACTCAGGACCGAGGCTTAGGGACGTTACGCCGCTGGCTGGGCCAGACACGGAGCGAACGCCCGACGAGACTCGGCCCCACGCCTGCTGACGCCAGAGCCTGGGCCCCATCTGTGAGTTCTGGGGCACCGAGTGGTTTGTGTGTCCTTCATTGTGCAGGTACCAGGATTTCCATGCATTCGACCTGTCGGGAGCCACTCGAGTCCTTGAATGGATTGGGAACAAAGGTGATCTGTCCCCCAAGCAGGTGGAGTCGCACTGTCTCAGGGACTCCGCCCCTGGCAGCACTGGGCGCCCGTCCGTGCTCCCTTGTATAATCCCCTTACTCAGCTCGCCCATCGTCTGGGGTTGCGTGCCAGCATGGGGAGGACTTGGCGGGAGTTTGTGAACTCTGCGGTGGTCTGCAGTCTCACGGTCTCACGCTGCTTCTGCCTCTTTCTCCAGGAGTCTTTGTTGCTGGCTATGAAAGCCTGAAAAAAAACGAGATTCTTCATCTCGTATTGCCTCACCGACTTTCTGTAAAGGAAAACCAGGTAACTTGAAATATGCGTGTGTTGACTTTTATTTATGAAGCATTTGTGGAGGTTGTATTGTCTATCAGGTAATGCCCTGGATGCTAGAGAGAGAGAGAGAGAGAAGCACTGTGCCAGTCCTTCAGTGTAATAGAGGGAGGTAAATGCTTAGAGTTGAATGCTAACGTGGTTTACGTGGGGCTATTGGAGCAAGAAGCTGATTTTAGTTTATCAAAACTAAATGGTTTCGGAAACCGTCAGGGGATGGGATGGTTCCACTGGACTAGGATTAGTGTGTGGTGGGTAAGGAATCAGAGATGACAGCTAAGGATAGAACCTCCCAGAGCACACTGGTACCGTGAACGCTCAGGGTCTCTGAGATAGGAGGAGTCAGAAAAAGGCCAGTGTTTCAGGAGCCAAAAGAAGAACCCCTGGCCAGGAGAAGAGAGTTGGTGACTGCCCTCGGATGCTGGGGAGTGGCTGGGTTCGCTCAGGAGACTGGCATTTGGGAAGTTCGCGGTGACGTCGGCTGCAGTGTTTTTGGTGAGGGCAAATATTGAAAGGAAGGAGGCCATGCCATCGGGAAGTGCTGGGAGGGAAGAAACCAGCCCCTGCCCCCTGTCTGGGACACAGATTCCAGGGAGAGTGTCCCCAAGCAGGGCCCGAGCAGAGTGACAAGCCGTGGGGAAGAAAGCCCTGAAGGAGGAGAGGATGTGCGGGAGAGAGGGAGGGAGGGAGGGAGCAGCGCCCTGGACACGATTCTGCCTCCAGGGGTACAGGGTGACAAGAGAGGGGACTCCAGGGCTTGGTGATCGTCAGGAGACAGGAGGGGCGAGGCTACCAGTCGGATAACCCATCGCGCCACAATGCCAGCAATTTAACTCCTCTGTGATCTTAGAGAAGTTGCCTAAGCTCCCTGTGCCTTAGGGTTGTCATGTTCAGAACAGTGCCAGCTCTGGTAGCTGCGCCACAGGGTAGTGTAAGACGTAAATGTGATAAAGCCCCAAACACAGGGCCCGGCAGAGCGAGCACGTGTTACGCAGCCGGTGTTAACGCCTGTGTAGCTGCAAGAACCCCTGGTGTCCAGGGGAGGGATGGGGAGAAGTGGGCGTGTGTTCATCGCTCCTGGATCCCTCTTGCCCTGGTGAAGCTGCCGACCCCCTGGACTCCCCTGAGAGGGCTGGAGTGTCGTGGGTGCTGGAGTGGAAGGGCCTGGCGAAACGAGGGGCAGGGCTTTGGGTGGCAGAGAAGGGGGAGAGCACCTGCGACCGACACCCATAGATAGCACACCAGGGCCCTCGGGAGGCTGAGGCTGAGTGGCCGGCTCTCATTGGCCCGTTTTGCGTTTCAGGGCTTATTCCCGGAAAGAGACTTTAAAGTGTGCCATGGAGGGTTTTCAGACAGGTGTGTTTTTGCTCTAAAGCACGTGCCAGATACCAGGTAAGGCCAGTTCTGTGGTCCGGAGCTTCCATTCAGTCCCGGGGGTCCTGCCTTGTCATCACCACCCCTGCCCTTCTGCACGTGTGTGCACACAGATCTAAAATACAAAGAACCACGCCTGTGGCTTCCCACGCGCCCCTGCTGCTCTCACTGACGTACCCAGCACGGGTGTGGGATCGGGCCAGAGGGTGCCCTTCATCTCTGAGAGCGCTGATGGGGCGCTGAGGGGCCCTGGGCCAGGGCGGGTGTTCAGGTTCCCCACTAGTGTCCTCTCGAGGTGACTTGAGGACATGCGGACGGCTGGACTTAGCCCCGTGACTCCCGTGAGCTGTGTCCCTGTCCCTCAAGTGGAGTAAGCGTCTTCCTCCCCTCGTGAGCCTGGGTGGTCTGGATGAGCCTGCAGTTTCTTAGGAAACGGAGGGTGGAGGGAGCCCATGCTGAGGGGCGGGCAGGGAAGGAGGGGATGTGGGTGAGCACCCACTGTCTGGACCCAGATCTCCTGTCTGTCCTGAATAGGTTGCTGGTGACCAGTGGCCTTCCGGGCTGTTACCTGGAGGTGTGGCAAGTCTCAGAGGACAGTGGTGAGTGAACTTGACTTGGTGAGGGTTGGGTTCTAGGGAGGTGTGGTGACTCTCACACCCCCCGCTCCCCCCCGTTAAGAAGTAGACTCGGCGCCTGGGGAGTGAGCAGGCAGTATCTGCTTTAATGTAGGCGAGGTGAACTAGCAGCCACACCGCGGCTTATGGCTCCCAAACAGGGCTTCCTATGACTTGCTCCAGGAGTTGCATTCCCCAGCCCGTATATACCAGGTAAGGCCAGTTCGCTGGGCCAGGGCAGAGCTAGGCCACTCTGGAGAGCTCACCTTTGGCCAAGGAGAAGGCAGTGAGGGGCTGGTCTCTGCGCAGGGGCGCTTGCTCGTCCCTGGGGAGGGAAACAGTGAGCGAGCACGAGGTTTGGCTGGCCGGTCTCCCACTCCAGAGCTGTTCCGCTTTGCCGCAAGGAATGCGGTGAGGCAGGCACAGAGCTGTCGCCCTCTGACCTGGTCCAGTCCTTCCATCCTCCTTGGTTAGAGTTTTGTAGGCCCGCTCGCCAGTGCCTCGGAGGCGTGAGCCACTGTTCTTGAAACTGCCCTTTGGCTGTGCAGCCCTCCGCCCCAGCCCCTTCCTGCCTCACTCGGGAGCTTGGCTCAGCTCCTGTGCTCCTCGGCTCTCACTGCCCCTGTGCGCTTCCCCTGTGTTGCCCTGGCACTTGTCCGCTGGGGCTTCCAGCTGTTTGTGTCCCTTACTTACAGCTAATCGTCCCTTGGTTTTTAACAGTTTGAGGTATGTTCTGCATAGCATATAATTCAGCCATTTCAAGCGTACTTTCAGTTACTTTTTTAGTAAATTTTACAGGTTTTCCAGCCCTCACTATGAATGAGTTTTAGAACAATTTTGTTACCCCGATGAGACCCACTCTGCTGGGCTGCTGTTACGGCTTGGCAAGCTGAGCTGCCCCCTGGGGCACGCGCAGCCCGTGTCAGAGCAGCAGTTCAAGTCCCGGCTGCTCTGCTTCTGACCCAGCTCCCTGCCAGTGCACCTGGGAGGGCAGAGGGCGATGGCACAAGTGCCTGGCCTCTGCCGCCCAGATGAGAGACCTGCTGTTCTGGCCATCTGGGGAGTAAGCCAGCAAATGGAGCTCTCTCTCCCTCTCTTCGTCACTCTGTGTTTCAAAGAAAGAAAGAAAGAACAAAAATAATCATCCACTATGCCATTTTCTGTTCATTCCCGTTCCTACCCCCTGTCCAGGCAACGGCGAGTCTGCTCTCTGTCCATATTGTAGACCTGTCCTCTCGGCCATTCCGCATTGGTGGAGTCAGGCCGGGTGTGGTCTCCTGCACCTGGCGCCCCACGCTCAGCATAATGCTTGGGTCCCTCTGCATCAGGGCCTGTGTCAGTGGTGTGTTCCTCTCGTGGCTAAATAGCTTTCCACTGTGTGAACAAGCCGCAGTCTGGCCAAGCACCAGCTGATAAATCTGTTATTTGCTAGGTATGAACAATGGTGCTAAGAACATGGATGCATAAATGTTCGTGTGGACATGTTTTCATTTCTCTTGCTGGGTTGATAGTAAATTTGATTTTTTTAAGGGACCTTTCAGACTTTTCCAAAATGTCTTCATTTGCATTCCTACCACCTATGTATAATGGCTCTCATTTTTCTTTTATTAAGATTTTATTTATTGGGGCCAGCACTGTGGCGCAGCGGGTTAAAGCCCCAGTCTGCAGCACAGCATCTCATATAGGCGCTGGTTTGAGTCCCGGCTGCTCCACTTCTTCTTCTTCTTCTTCTTTTTTTTTTTAAGGTATTTATTTGAAAGAGTTACAGAGAGACAGAGGCAGAGAGAGCGAGAGAGGTCTCTCATCTGCTGGTTCACACTCCAGATGGCTGCAGTGGCTGGAGAAGCCAGGAGCCAGGAGCTGCTTCTGCATTTCCCATGCAGGTGCAGGGGCCCAAGGACTTGGGCCATCTTCCACTGCTTTCCCTGGCCACAGCAGAGAGCTGGATTGGAAGAGGAGCAGCCGGGACTAGAACCCCGGTACCCATATGGGATGCCAGAGCTTCAGGCCAGGCCGTTAACCCACTGAGCCACGGCGCTGGCGCCACCTGCTCTGCTTTTGATCCAGCTCTCTGCTAATGCACCTCGGAAAGCAGTGGAGGATGGGCCAAGTCCTTGAACTACTGCACCTGTGTGAGAGACCTGAAAGAAGCTCCTGGCTCCTGGCTTGGGATCAGCTCAGCTCTGGCCATTGTAGCCATTTGGGGAGTGAACCAACAATGGAAGACCCCTCCCCCGTCTCTACCTCTCTCTGTAACTCTGTCTTTCTTTCTTTTTTTAAGATTTATTTATTTATTTGAAAGAGTTACACAGAGAGAGAAGGAGAGGCAGAGAGAAAGAGAGGTCTTCCATCTGCTGGGTCACTCCCCAGTTGGCTGCAATGGCTGGAGCTGTGCCGATCCGAAGCCAGGAGCTAGGAGCTTCCTCCAGGTCCCCCGTGCAGGTGCAGGGGCTCAAGCCCTTGGGCCATCTCCCACTGCTTTCCTAAGCCATAGCAGAGAGCTGGATCAGAAGTGGAGCAGCCAGGACTCGAACCAGTGCCCATATGGGATGCCAGCACTGCAGGTGGTGGCTTTACCTGCTATGCCACAGCGCCGGCCCCTACTCTGTCTTTCAAATAAATAAAAATAAATCTTTTTTAAAAAGATTTTATTTGTTTGAAAGGCTGAATGACACAGAGAGAGAGAGAGATCTTCCACCTCCTGGTTCATTCACCACAAATGGCTACAATAGCCGAAGCTGGGCCAGGCTGAAGCCAGGAGCCAGGATCTCCTTCTGCGTCTCCCACCTGGGTGGTGGCAGGGACCCAAGTACTTGGGCCCCTGCTGCCTCCCAGGCACATTAGCAGGCGGTTGGATCGGAAGCACAGCAGTTGTGACTGGAACTGGTATGGGATATGGATACTGGTGTATGGGGTACTGGTGTAACAAGTGGTGGCTTAACCCACTGTGCCCCATGGGTGGTCTCCTTATTCTGTGTTGTCCCCAACATGTTTTTGTCTTTTCATGAAACCCATTCTGCATGTCCCAAATGACAGTGATCCTGCGTGTCTTTCCCTGTGCTCACTGGCTGTCCACACACCTGGTGAGATGCCCACAGAGGTGTTGTGCACATTTTGGATCAGGCTGTTTGTCTTTCCAGTGTTGCAGAAGCTCCGTCCCTCTTGGACAGGCATCTTGTGAATGCTTTCTCCCAGTCTGTCGCCTGTGTTTCCATCGTAACAGTGTCCCGTGAAGCATACAGTCTGTCGCCTGTGTTTCCATCGTAACAGTGTCCTGTGAAGCATACAGGTGTTCATGAGGGCCAGTTTGTCCAGTTTTCCTCTTAGAGATTATGTTTTTGTTGACATAGTTAAGAAATCTTTAACTTGTAGGTTATCTCCAGTTTGTTTTTTTTTTTTTCCCCTGGTTCCAGCATTTGGATCTCTGATCCGTCTGGAGTTGATTTTGATGTGTGGGGGGAGGGAAGAGTTGGAGTTTGTCTTTCTGCATATGAATGTCCAGGCGTGCCCATCCGTGTGTCCTGTGCCCTGGCGCCTTTGTTCAAAGTGCAGATAGACACAAAGATGTCTTCCTGAACTCCAGTTCCTGTCCACTGGTCTTGAAGAGTATGTCTGTCCTTACATCATTAATGTGGGGTGTTTTTATTTTCACCCAGAAACAGGCTGGGTGGGGCGGCAGCGGTTTCAAGATGGGAGAAGATTCTTGAGACCACCAGGAGGTGCCTTTTGTCCTGACGGTGCCTGGGTCCCTGGCACAGAACAGGCCTGGGGGGGAGCTAGTGGCCCCAGGGGGCTTGTTGTGGTACTCACACGGGTGTAGACCATCACTATGGAGTCGTTTTCCTCTGTCTGTTAATATAGAATGTTCCAGGTTGAGGGGAACTACCAGTTCTTTCCTAGAAGCCTGAAGGCATAGCATCGTCTTGGTGAATTTTCCACGGTCCCGGAATTGACCCCCAGCCTTGGTGTCTAAAGCACCTGATTTTGTCAGCACACCTGGAACCAGTCCCATCTGTTTATGGGGCAGACATACTCAGCAGCTCACAGAACTGCTGTATCAACCCTTAGTTTATAATAAAACACAGTAGGATGCTCCTGGGCCTCACGTCTAGCATGTTCCTTGCCTCTGGAAGATGTGGCTGGGTCAAAGGCTGCAGGGTAAAGGGAACCAGCACAAGAGCAGTCGGCTCCAGGGCCTCCAGCTGGCTCTGTTAGGAGCTCTTTGGGGCAGGGGGCAGCTTGGGAAGGCCCTGCTGCCCGGGCCCTGGGCGTGGCCCGGCCCTAGGCTGCGGAAACCGCCGAGCTGGGTGAATGCAGGGTCCGAGGGACTCGATTCGAATGGCACTTGCTGCTCCCACTCGGACCTGAAGCACCCCACCCTCCGGGGCTGCCCTGTGCCAGACAGGCCCGCGGTGGCCGCCGCCCTCCTTCAGCCGAGGCCCTGCGGGTGTCAGCGCGGCAGGGCCAGGGCCGGGCTGCTCCACAGGGCCTCGGCCTGCTCTGATCATTCTGTTGTGGTCTAGTTTTCAAAGACCACCTTTGCTTGTGTCCAGGTTCCGGAAGTGCCTTCACTTTGCTCTGTGGTCATTTATCTCAGATTGCAGCTGGGCTGGTGCGATGGTGGGTTTCCCGTGGCGGGGTGGGGCGCATTTGCCACCGACTGATCTCTGCTGCTGTGATTAGAGAGCAGCTGTCCAGGTAGGGGGGTCTCAGGTCTTTGTTTTCTGGTTTTCTCCTTCCTCCCAGGAGGGGCCGAGTCACATCTGAGCCATCCCCTGGCTCAGAGCTGCACGTCCCGGGGGAGCCCGGCCTTGCTCCTCAGGCTCTGAGGGAAGGGAAGAAAGAGGCCCCCTCCAGGGTGGCCCACAGGCCTGGGTTGCACCTCACTGCGTCGTCCCTAGAGACAGACCTGGCCCAGGAGCCCGCTGCTGGGTCTGCTCGGGGCCTCCAGCTCCTGCGGTGGGAGCGGGGAGCTCGGCAGGTCCCAGCGGAGCGCCCAGAGAGCCGAGTGGCCTGGCGCAGTGCTGCAGCCCGGCCTCGGCGGGCGCCGCTGTTGCCCACCCCGAGCCCTTCTCCACCTCTCCCTCCTCCTTCCCGCTGACCTTCCTCTCCTGCTGAACTGAAAACATACCCAGATCTTCATCTGCATCTGAGAGCGGGTGAACCAGATAATGGGCCCCCTAGAGCAAGGGGACAGATGGAAAGGAGTTCCCCTTACGAATGACTTGGGCTGCGACTGTTGAGAGAAGCCGCCAGTGTCAAGCACGGATGTGAGAACCCGTGAGACAAACCAACTCACACTTGGTTCTACTTGAGGCCAACGCAGTGTGGTCCAATTTCCATTTGTATTTTTTATTTGAAAGGCAGGGGGTAGGGGGGAGAGAGAGATCAATCTTTTCATCTGCTGGCAAATGGCTGCAGTAGACAGGGCTGGACCAGGCCAAAGCCAGGAGCCGGGAACTCTACCCAGTCTCCCGCGTGGGTGGCAGAGACCGAAGTATTTGAGCCATCATTTGCTGCTTCGCAGGTGCATCAGCAGGGAAACGGATCTGAGGGGAATAGTTAGGTCTCTAACTGGCACCCTGATGGGGGGTGAGGGGGCTTAACCCACTGTGCCATGCACTTCCACCCCAACCCGTACCTCTGTTTTTACTTAAGATTTTATTTATTTGAAAGGCAGAGCAGAGCATGAAAAAGAGATAGAGGTAGAGATAAAGAGATCTTCCATCTGCTGGTTCCCTCCCAAATGACAACAGCCAGGGCTGTGACACCTAGGTGGCAGAGGACTAAGCCCTTGGGCCATCCCCTGCTGGTTTCCCAGGTGAATTAGCAGGAAGCTGGTTTGGAAGTGGAGCAGCCAGGATGCAAGCTGGCGCTCCGATGTGGGACGGGCTTGTCCCACGCAGTGGCTCAACTTGCTGCCCCGCCCCACTGCCCCCCCCAACCTGCTGCCCCGCCCCTCTGGCCCCGTCCCCCGTTGGGAGAGGACAGAATCCACACCCTTTGACTTGCTGGCCTGCGGCAAATGCTTGAGGTCACAGAACGTGTGTTTGGAGAAGCCGTTGAGTTCATGGTCTGCATGCTCTGCGTCTCCCCTCCGGGATTCTCTAGCAAACTAGACCAGCTCCGCTTCTGGGGTTTCGGGGGCTGTGGTGACTCATTCCCCCCATCTGTAGAAACTATTCATGAGAACATTTTAAAGAAACGGAGTGCTTCTGGCAGATTCAGAAATGTAAATGTAACCCCAAGTGTTTCCGTCCCAGCGTCCTCTCCACACCGTGTGGCCTGAATGTTCTGCATTTCGGCCTCTTCCTGTTCCCCCAGATGTCATCCAGGTTGTCAGCACCGTTGCTGTGCAGGAGGCAGAGGGCAGCCTCTGGCCTCGGGTGGCCATCTTCGCCTCCACGGCTCCCGGGATCCTCCACGGCAGGAGGCTCAGTGACCTGCAGATCGTGGATCTGGAGTCGCAGAAGACCACGTACGCCTCAGGTACTGCCGCCGCCTCCCTGCCCGCCTGGTCAGCCCTGTGGCCAGGTGCGGGAGAGCGCGGTCACTGAGACAAGGCCGGGCCCCAGAGGCTCTCCTTGGGGGGTGGGGAGCAGTCCCAGGGACCGGCCCACCTGGCTGAGTCGACTGTGGCGAGAGGAGTGGGAGGGGAGACAGGACCCGCGCTGCCCGCATTGGTAGGCGGGGACTCGTGGTCAGTGGATGCCCGCGTGCCAGCCGCAGCGGACTCCAGCACCTTCTCTCCTGTGCCTTCGGCCCCCAGGTGTCAGTGACCGCGAGGAGCTGAGTAGCCTGCAGGTCCTGGATGGAGACACCTTTGCTTTCTGCTGCACCTCGGGCCGCCTGGGGCTCGTTGACACCCGCCAGAAGTGGGCGCCGTCAGAGAGTCTCCGCCCTGGCCCCAGCTTCAGTGGACAGAGCTGGTGTGCAGACGTGGGGGGCAGAGGCCAGGCGCCTGGGCCCAGCATTGCCAGTCTTGGCTCCAATGGGCAGCTCCGCCTTCTCGACCCCCGGGACCTGAGCCGCCCTGTGAGCTCAGTCCAGTGCCCAGTTCCCACGCCTAGTCCTGACCCGGAGCTGCTGCGAGTGACTTGGGCCCCAGGTCTCCATAACTGCCTGGCCATTTCAGGTACCGCGGAGCCAGCCTCTGTGTGTGTGACTTTCGCTCTCGCTCGCTCTCTCTCCCCCTCTGTCTCTCCCTTGCTCTCGCTCTGGCTCGCTCGTTCTCTCTCTCTCTCTCCCCGTCTCGGGGTTGGTGGGTCGGATGCTCAGGAAGGAGTCTGCAGCCCCTTAGGAAGCTGCCTCCAGAAGTTGCAGCGCGCAGAGAGAAGCTGCACGCCGACGTGCCAGGCTCCCCCAGGGCAGGCCCTCCCGACCCCGGCCACCACACTGCCACAGCTTGGCAGCCGGCCTCTCCCAGCCTGGCCAGAACCCAGGCCTCAGGCCAGCCAAGAGGCCTGCAGATGAGCTGGCCCGGTGCTGGGAGAGCCAGGGTGCCGCACCAGGCAGCGGTGAGGTAGTGGGCTCACAGGGGTGCCTCTCCGGGTCAGCACTCCTGGGTCAGGCCCAGGGGAATCTTGCAGCAGTGGGTTGGTGAGAGAGCCAGTGGGAGGCAGCTGCTGCAGGGAGGGGGGTGGGCTTGAAAGGACAGTCGAGGGAGCAGGAGAGGGGGACCGGCAGTGTCGGGATCCAGAAAGAGCAGGAGAGAACCCAGCCCAGGCCTGAGTGCCTCGCTGTCTGTGTCCCCACCCAGTGGCCTGTCTGGTGCCTGGAACAAAGGATGAAAGCATTCCAGGGCCTCGCCGTCTGACCTCTTCTGTGCCCTTGCTCAGGCTTCGACGGGACGGTTCAGGTCCATGACGTCACCTCCTGGGCTGCAGCAGGGAACCAAGTGGAGCCGCACTTCACGCACAGCGGCCACCTCTTCCTGGACGGAAACGGGGCGGGGTCTGCTCCGCTGGTCACCACCCACACCTGGCACCCCTGCAAGCCGAGGACCTTGCTGTCAGCAGCCAGCGACGCCTCTCTGCACGTGTGGGACTGGGTGGCGCCGGAGGCCTCCTGCTGACGCCGGCTTCTCAGCGGGGAGGAGGGGCTGTTGCAGTGGCTGCTGGTGCAGACTGGTGGCCGCAGGTCCCCCTGCCAGCCGGGTGGCCTCCGTGAGCCGTGAGGACAGTGATAGCGGGAAGAGCTCACGAGTGCAATGTGTCCTGTGAAGAAAACGACGCAGGGCCCAGAGGCAGCTGGGGGCGTTCTGGGAACGGCAGTGGAAACAAGTCACGCCGTTCCTGCCTGGTGAACAGCCGATGCTACAACAGGACCACTTTGAGCCGTGGCTCCACGGGGCCGCAGGTCCAAAGGCGGCCTGGTTCCTGCCCGGCTGGGTAAGGCCCGTTGTTCAGCTGAACCGTGGTTTGCCTGTGTGTGTCCAGTTCCCTGTTGGATGACAATGAAAGTTTTCTTGGCTTTTGCTGTTATAAATAGTGCGATGAATAGCTTTCGCACCCGTGAGCAGGACGCCTGCCTGGCGATTCCAAGAATAGAGTAGACTCGTGCATTTGCAGGCTGTGTAAGTACTGTCAAGGAGCTGCTTTCGGCCCCTGCCAACAGAGGTGGGGCCGCTGTCGTCTGCCTCCTCTCTGACAAAGTCTGTTTGCTGACGCTTTGACCTTGGCCGGTCTGATCCGTGAAGTCAGCGTTTACAGCTTCAGGTTGAAGCTTCTTATCTGCGAGGTTGAGACCCTGCACACTCTAACGCCTGGGGACAATTGTTTCTGAAATGGTAACAGCCACAATATGGGGAACTCGGCCCCGTGACCCGGCACCACCTGTGGCCCTGGAGTTCTGTCACCCTCTCTTGGCAGTCCACACCGCCACTGACACTGCCTCTCGGCCTTCCCCAGGGCGGGGTGCCCCACACCTGTCCCCACAGGAGCATGGGCCCTGGGACAGTCCCTTATCGGGGCCTGTAGCGAGCAGGAAAGTCTCAAGCGTGTCCCCATTAAATAAAATTTCTCACTAGCATTTACTGAAGGATTTTAGCAATTTTGCTTTAAATTTATTTGATTACTTATCACATTTTGCACTTTGATTTGTTTAAAAATACCTCCACTGAGATTTAATTCATATCCCATTTTTTAAAAACAGTTCCTGGCCGGCGCCGTGGCTCACTTGGCTAATCCTCCGCCTTGCGGCGCCGGCACACCGGGTTCTAGTCCCGGTCGGGGCACCGGATTCTGTCCCGGTTGCCCCCCTTCCAGGCCAGCTCTCTGCTGTGGCCAGGGAGTGCAGTGGAGGATGGCCCAGGTGCTTGGGCCCTGCACCCGCATGGGAGACCAGGAGAAGCACCTGGCTCCTGCCTTTGGATCAGCACAGTGTGCGCCGGCCACGGCGGCCATTGGAGGATGAACCAACGGCAAAGGAAGACCTTTCTCTCTGTCTCTCTCTCTGTCCACTCTGCCTGTCAAAAACAAACAAACAAACAAATAAACAGTTCCTGGCTTTGGCCTGGCCCAGCCCTGGCCGTGGAGGCCCTTCCCCTCTGTGTCATTCTGCCTTTCAAATAATATTTTTTTGAAAGGTCTATTTATTTATTTGAAAAGCAGAGAAGAGAGAGAGGGAGGTCTTCCATCTGCTGGTTTACTCCCCAAATGGCAGCAATGGTTGGAGCTGGGCCCATCCAAAGCCAGGAGCAAGGAGCTTCTTCCGGGTCTCTCACGTGGGTGCAGGGGCCCAAGAACTTGGGCCATCTTCTACTGCTTTCCTGGGCCATAGCAGAGAGCTGGATCAGAAGTGGAGCAGCCGAGACTTGAACCAGTGCCCATGTGGGATGCCGGCACTGCAGGTGGTAGCTTTACCCACTCCACCAGCCCCAACATAAATGTTTTAAAAAGGAATGACTGGGCCAGGCCAGAGTTGGGAGCTGGGGACTAAAATCAGGGTCACCCGTGTGAGTGGCAGGGACCCAATGACTTGAACCCTCAGCTGGGGCCTCCCAGTGGGTGCATTAGCAGGGAGCTGGGGCTGGGAGCGGGCCGGGTAGCAGACTCTGCTACCCTGAGGTGGGACACAGCCATTTGACCTGGAGCCGTCAGTGCTGGGCTGGATGCCCACCCTCTTCTTCCTGGAAGGACACTGGATCTATCAGATTAGGGCCTCATGCTTACAGCCTCATTTAAACCTAATTCCTTTCTAGGCCGTCTCCAGTCACATTGGGAATGGGGGCTTCACCGTGTGGATTTGATTCAGCCTTAGCTCTTGGGAATTATTTTGAAGTGAGGAAAACCTAACATTTGAAACTGAGGTAAATTCTTTGAATACTTAACAATAGGTTGATAGAATGTTTTTATTTTAAAAATATTTAAAGTTCGCCACTCAAGATATGACCACTTTCACTTTTTCTTTTTTTTTTTTAAAGATTTATTTATTTGAAAGGCAGCATTACAGGAGGGTGTGGGCATCTTCCATCTGCCGGTTCACTCCCCAGATGGTCACAATGGCCAGGACTGGGCCAGGCCGAAGCCAGGAGACTGGTCTCCCATGTAGGTGCGGGGTCTTGGGCCATCTTCCACCGCTTTCCCAGGCACATTAGCAGGGAGCTGGATCGGAAGTGGAGCAGCCGGGACTTGAACTGGCGCCCATATGGGATGCCAGCATTGTAGGTGGTGGCTTAACTCACTGAGCCATGCCAGCCCCTGGGAGTCTCCTTTTCAGTCACTGCTCCACTTGACTCCACTTTGATGACAGCAGGTTCTGTAGATCCTTCTCAATTCTGCGTCGTGGTGTCACATCGCTGCCTTGAAACCAGCCACAGTGGGAAAGAAATTGGCAAGGGGTGGACTTTGTGGCATGGTGGGTTAAGCTGCTGCCTGGGACCCCTACATCCGATACTGGAGTGCCTAACGACTCTGCTTCCCATTCAGCTTCTTGCTAATGTGCCCGGGAAGGCAGCAGATAGAGGGCCGAGTGCTTGGGCGCCTGCCACCCGCGTGGGAAACGTGGATGGAGTTCCTGGTTCTTGGCGTCAGCTTGGCCCTGCCCTGGCTATTGCAGTCATCTGGGGAATGAGCCAATGGATGGAAGAGTCTCTCTGTCTCTCTCTGCTTATTTTAAATGACTCTTAGAAAAAATTGAGGCCAGTGCTGTGGCTCACTTGGTTAATCCTCCGCCTGTGGTGCCGGCATCCCATATGGGCGCCAGGTTCTAGTCCTGGTTGCTCCTCTTCCAGGCCAGTTCTCTGCTGTGGCCTGGGAGTGCAGTGGAGGATGGCCCAAGTGCTTGGGCCCTGCACCCCATGGGAGACCAGGAGGAAGCACCTGGCTCCTGGCTTCGGATCAGTGCAGCACCGGCTGTGGCGGCCATTAGGGGAGTGAACCAACAGAAGGAAGACCTTTCTGTCTGTCTGTCTCTCTCACTGTCTGTAACTCTACCTATCAAATAAATAAATAAAAATCTTAAAAAAAAAAAATTGCCAAATGCTGCAAAGCAGGGCTCCCCACCCTGGAGCTAGGCCAGCCTGCCGCTGACACTCCCGGTTCCCCAAAGAGAAGCACAAGTGAGCCTTTAAAAGGAGGACAATTGATTCCTGAATTTGAAAGCTGCTTTGCTGGAAAATATCGATAAACCATGTCTCAGTCAGTGTCTGGCCCGGAAGACTGAGCCACTGTCCCTCCCCCAGCCCCAGCAGGAGGAAATGAGTGGCGGGCAGCTCAGGAGGCAGCAACTGAAAGAGGAAGCAGGGTGGGGATGGGAGCTGCCACAGGGGGTCTCCTGTGGGGATGGGGCCGCTGCCTGCTGGCTAGCACTGGGGCTGTGCAGCTGGGGCTCCCAGCAGTGCTGGAACTGCCCCAGGTACAGAGAGGGGAGAGCGCCCTCAGGTTATCCCACCCTCGGAGATCCTGCCAGTGCAAAGCATTCTGGGAAGTGAGCTGAGCAGGAGCCGGCTCGAATGGACCTGAGGACGGGTGGACAGTGACCGTTGGCACTCTGCTCAGATCGAGGAAAGGGGACAGTGAGAACGGGGAGTAGACAGGGATGGCCCAGCTCGTTCAGGCATAATGTGAAGAAAAATGTGGGGATGACAGTTTGGAGATAAGTTTCTCAAAAGAACAGTGAATTTTCATAGTGTGGTAGCTTCAACAAACAAATCTTGTAAAAATCTGGGAAGCTCACAACACATTATATGACGGGGATAAAATCCTAACACCAGGGCCAGTGCTGTGACGAAGCGGGTGAAGCTGCCATCTGCAACGCCGGCATCCGTGTGGCTGCTGGTTTGTTCCGGCTGCTCCACTTCGATCCAGCTCCCTGCTGTGGCCTGGGAAAGCAGTGGAAGATGGTCCAAGTGCTTGGGCCCCTGCTCCCACGTAGGAGACCTGGAAGAAACTCAGCTCCTGGCTTTGATCTGGCCCAGCACCGGCTGTTGCAGCCATTTGGGGAGTGAACCAGAGATGGAAGACCTCTCTCTGCCTCTGCCTATCCCTCTCTATAACTCTGCCTTTCAAATAGATAAATAAATCTTTAAAAATAAATAAGTAGGGGCCAGTGCTGTGACAGCAGGTGGGGCCCCCGCCTGCAGTGCTGGCATCCCATGTGGGTGCTGGTTTGAGTCCCGGCTGCTCCACTTCTGATCCGGCTCTCTGCTGTGGCCTGGGAAAGCAGTGGAAGATGGCCCAAGGCCTTGGGCCCCTGGACCCGCGTGGGTGACCCTGAGGAGGCTCCCTGCTCCTGGCTTTGGATCAGCGCAGCTCTGGCCATTGCAGCCATTTGAGGAGTGAACCAGCAGATGGAAGACCTGTGTGTGTGTGTGTCTCTTGTCTCTGCCTCTCTAGCTCTGCCATTCAAATGAACAAATAGATCAATCAATAAATAAAAGAAACAACCAGGACCCTCCTCCCGCCATACCAGTCGGGGGCTCCCCTGCAGGATCCTCTGCTGCCGCTCCTGAATGCCCTTCTTTCCAAGGCGCTGCCGTACACACCGGGTTCTGCCCTGCGGCCCTTCCGACACGGGCTCCGCCGGCACGGCCTCCTGCCCCCAGCACCCTCTGCGCAGTTCCTCACGCTGTCCAAGCAAACCGCCAGCCCCTCTGCAGTGGGGGTGGCTGCCTGCGGGGCGCATCAGGGCATCCATCGGAGAAGGCCCAGGTGCCCGGCGTGGGGTGCTCCTGGCCTTGCGGTGGGTCGTCTGCAGGGCTTTGAAGCGGTAGCAACACTGCTTCAGGGCCCGCAGGAAGCCACACTCCCGCAGCCACCCCGCAGGCGCCCAGCCATGATCCGGTACACCCGGCGGTTCTGGTGGCGGGTGCGGAGCGCCTCAGGGATCCAGGACTCACTGGGAATTCCCAATAAATCCGTGGTTTCCTCGGAGCCCCAGTGCACTCTGGCCACCTCATCCTGCAGGCCCTGCCAGCCGCACACTTCCGGGGCGTGGCTTTCCTCGAGCCTGGCAGGGCCTGGGCAGCCTCCCACACGCTCCTCCTGGGAGTGCTGAGGGCCTGGGCTCTGCAGGTCTTGGTCCTGCTCCCTGTTAGAGCTCCCACTGCGAGTTGGGACATCTGTTTGCAGGGAGATAAACAGCAGACCTACGGTTTGGTGAATTAAACTCCAATCATTTTATTTTTAAAAAAGATGTACTTATTTATTTGAAAGGCAGAGGGACAAACAAAGACCTAAAAAAGGTCTGCAAGTGGGGTCTTGCTAGGTGGGAACCCCACTGCTGACTCCACCTTGAAAGGAAAAGGCATTCGTAGGTAGGGAGGCCCTGAATTGGAGCCTTCTCCCAGGTTACTTCTGGGTGGTTCTTCATCCGGGTTCCGGTTGCCTCGGTGCCTCTCAGGAGACAGCAAGGCCACAACGCCAAAGGCCAGCAGCTCCTGGGGGAACGGGACACATAATGCCTCCACTACCTGGGCCCAAGGCCAAGCAACAAAATAGGAGAGACTAAAGAGAGAGCCCTTTTTGGCTCTAAAATGCAATCAGAAGGACAGAAGGGGATTTAAAAAAAAAAAAAAAAGAAAGCAACGAGCTAACTCT